GGGCGGTTGGACGTACTGCCAAATTCTCTAAAATGAAGTTGGAGGCAGCTTATGGTTGAGAAATGAACATCAAATTCTCTGGCAACAGCTCTAGTGGACATTCCTGCAGTCAGCAGGCCAATTGCACACTCCCTCAAAACATGAGACATCTGTGACATTGTGTTTTGTGACAAAACTGCACATTTTAGAGTGGCCTTTTATTATCCCCAGCACAAGGTGCACCTGTGTAATGTTCATGCTGTTTAATCAGCTTCTTGATATGCCAGACCTGTCAGGTGGACGGATTATCTTGGCAAAGGAGAAATGCTCGCTAACAGGGATGTAAACACATTTCTGCACAACATTTTAGAGAAATAAGCTTTTTTGTGCACATGGAACATTTCTGGGATCTTTTATTTCAGCTCATGAAACATGGGACCAACACTTTACATGTTGCATTTATATTTTTGTTCAGTATAGAACACCAAATATCAGTTGGTATGCTATACTATATAAGTACAATTTCACTATTTTCAGTACAATAAAGTAGTGTATTGCTGTTATGCTATATATTTACCACAGCATACTGTAAATTATGGCGCATTGTGTAGAAATATTGTGGGAGGAGAAAGAACCACTGGCTCATTAACATATTTCAAGGCATGCCTTGTAAGTGGCTATATTTGTTGCACCCATTAGTCAGAGTCCTGTACCAATTTAAGTGATATGTGGTAGTTGTTCTGTAAAAATTAATGGTGTGTTTGGAAATTCATTCTGGTCATCTACACTGATTTCAGAGTGCGTTTGTCTCAGTGTGCCAGAGCGCAGAATAACTGATGAATTTATGAACACTCAACACGTGTTGAATATGGCTGGTGTCAGTAAATGTTGGCAAAAAAAAGCGTAATTAAATTGTTGCCAGCAGCACAGTTACAGTCACCAATGCTCTAGATAACATGAAAACAGCCTAACCAGCTCTGCTAGGGCGAGTAAAACGGTCAGAGTGAGGTGTTCTCTCATATTTGTCTGGAAGTAACTTTAGCCAGTTAGCTTGGGTGCTTGACTGCCATTGTGAGGTCAGAATGCTTGGATCAACCCTACTCCTTGGCCAGAGTGTCCAGTGTGTGCTCTGAACGCTGTGAGAGCGAAACGCTCTGAATTTACGAATGGACAATCTGACAAACTCTGAATTTAGGAACGCCCAGAGCGCACTCTGAGTGCACTCTGGCACTTCAGATTTAATTTACGAACACACCCTAAGAGCGGTAAAGGGTCTTATACCATTTAATGGGTAAATATGTCTGTTTGATGTGTTTTGCCCTGTAATCGGCCAGTTTGGAAGCCTTTGTCTAGGCCTCTTGAAGTGCAAGTGATATTGAACACCTATTAATTCATATGCAAATGCATACAGACAACCTACTTGCTCTAATCCTTTGTAATTACAGTAAAACACTGTAGAAATCATTTTCTTACAGTTTAATAGTCACCTTTAATGTATTGTGTTTTATTGCTCTGGCATCAAGTTAGCGTGAATATCTCAGTATTGTATTGGCGCTATCTAATCAGAGATATATCATAAAATCTGTTGTTTGATATTGCAATTATTTTGAAGACCAATGTATCCTTAACTACAACAACATTTTCAGTAATGGTTAAAGAAACGTTTTACTTGCTTAAACTTTTGATATGCGTATTTTTTTTTATCAACCTTGGTTGAGTGCACTGACTGTAAATTGCTAAGGACAAGAGCACCCGCTAAATGACCAAAATGTAAATGTAAATGTACAAATTAAAACTTGCAAAGTACTCTCTGTAATATGTCGCTGGATGGGCAATTCCAGTAATATACTGTAAATTAGATTACAGTAACATTTTTGGTACCGTAAAATAATGGATTACAGTAGCTGTAATCCAATTGCTGCCAGTAAATTACTATACATTTTACTGGAGACGTTTTACAGTGCAGTAATGGGCAGTCACTACCATCATGGGGGGGAGGGGAGTTATTAATGGGGGGAATCTAAATAGGCTCTCTCAAGATTCGATACTAGTGTGCTGGGATTTCAAGATTCCTCCACCGCATGGTTCTATGCCCTGAGCTATCTTTCTACCTGCCAAGCAGATGAAATATCTAGATAAAAATAAAAAGAGGTCAGCACTCTCTGTCCAGCAGTTCCAACACCCTGTAAAGGCGACTGCAGACTAGGTTCTGTTTGCTCCTAACAGAACTTGGCTAGGCATAAGCATGACAGTGCTTGCATACTCCTTTAAAAGGTCTAATGCAGCTGTTTTTATCTCAATATCAAATTATTTCTGGGTAACAATTAAGTACCATACTGTAATTTTTTCAATTCAAATTGTCAAAAATAAATAAATTAAAATATCACACAACAAAAGTAAACATTTTCCTAGGACTGTCTGGGAGTGGTCTTAGTGGGGAGGGGAAAACAGAAAATTAGTTATTGGCAGAGAGGTTTGGAACTCTCTTTCTCATTGGTCTACTGAATAATTTACCGTGTAGTGATGTCACCATGGAAGGCCAAAACTCCATCCCACCAAAACAGGCAGAAATTTCAGGCGGCCTCATAGTGTGGAAATATATATAAAACACAGGATAATCAAGTTTTTGACTGCACTGAGCCTTTAAAGACCTTCACTTGAAAAACAACCACTTGAACAATCACCGGCGAACGGGCGTAGACTTTGGCTACCGAACTTCAATTTGCCTCAAGAAAAACGTGAAAAGCCGGAAAAAATCCAGCCGAACACCAAAACGAACAAAACATCACAAAATGTTGTCGTAATATATGCGTGAAACGGCATGCCACTTTTCAACCGGATAGTATGCGATGGCCTAAGATGGTTATGTGATGTCCGATGCTTCAAACTTCATCAATCGCCTTGATACTTTTGTATCAGATCAGACTGCTTTGAAGATTTTAGGCAAGCCTCGAAGTGTCGGTATCGTGTGTCCCATCACTACTAATCTCTCATTGAATTTAAAATAATAAAAATGTCTCACATTATAAATTTTTAATCTGTGTGCAAAGTCCTCACACAGCTCTTTTGTCTTTACTCACTTAGAATTGCACAGTGAAGGCTATCTGCTTCTAAATCTATACAATTACAAAATAATTAGAATACAACAATTATGCAGTGACCTACTCAGTCTTCACTCTTTCCAAGAGGTGGAAGTGTTTTGTCCACTTCACAGACTTTCCAAATGTCATCTGATGCCATAGGTGGGCAAATTTCAATTTTGTCAGATAAACTTGGATACCTCTCCACACAAGAGTTACCACAGGGTCTTTCTGATTGTCACAGGTCAACTGCCCCCCTGGGTTTTGCACGTTCTCCGCTAAGAACCGAGGGGCGGAAAGGTCACTTGTGTCCAGAATCTTGGATAATTGCGCACCACCAGCATCTCTTGAATCAGTCGGCATCCCCCGACTCAGAGATAATTTTTGATAAAATACACAGCTTAGTGGCATTTTATTATCATATGAAATTTAGAATTCAGTGATACCCATTAGGCCTATGTCCCTAGCCCATAGAATTAAGAACTAGAATACTGGAACTTTGAGGGTTTATGACATAGCCCCTCTGTCACATTCATTGAATGACGGGTCAGACCAAGGCGCAGCGTGATATGCATGTTTATTAACTTATAAACACAATGACAAAACAACAAACGAAACGTGAAGTCCAAGGTAGAACACACAACATACCTTACACGGAACAAGATCCCACAACTAGACAGTGCCAATAGGCTGCCTAAGTATGGTCCCCAATCAGAGACAACGAGCGTCAGCTGCCTCTGATTGGGAACCACACCGGCCAACATAGAAATACACATCTAGATAAACCACATAGATAATACACAACAAAGAATATACACACCCTGACTCAACATATACGAGTCCCCTGAGTCAGGGCGTGACTCAGGGGAATTTAATAGGATCTCTATGCCCTACACTCTTTGAAACAAGGTGCTATCTAGAACCAAAAAATTGTTATTCTGCTGTCCCCAAAGGAGAACCCTTTGAAGAACCCTTTTTGGTTCGAGGAATAAACTTTTTGGGTTCCATGTACTGTAGAACCCTTTCCACAGAGGGTTCTACAGTACATGGAACCCAAAAGAGTTCTACCTGGAACTATAAAGGGTTCTCCTATGGGGACAGCCAAAGAACCCTTTTGGAACCCTGTTTTCTGAGAGTGTAGCCCAGGGGTCCTCAATTACATTTAGCCGTGGGCCGATTTTTCCTTGAGAGGATGGTCGAGGGGCCGGAACATAGTTATAAATAATTTGTACACTGCAAATTGACCGCAAGAATCCCAAATATAGTATTTGACAAAAACAGAATAATTTCAACCTTGATTACATTGGGATATGATCACATACTGTATGCCTCTCTATTTATGTGTGGGAATACTTGGGAACAGGTTTCCTAATTAAAATCACTTTGAGCTGATTTCCTGGTGATTTTACAGTGTTTTATGTCAAACAATGAAAATTACAAAAATACAAAATATATAGTTTTTTTGCTCAGAAAACCTGGGGTGGGGTCAAATAAAATCACCCGTGGGCCGCCTATTGGGGAACACTGCCATAGCCTCTCAAGATGGACACTTGTTTCAATCACAAAGATCATCATATCAGTCACACACTGTCACAAATACTGGGTCAGATGTCCCTAAAAGCCTTTTATCATTGCTGCTTTTGAAATGGGATTTACAATGGAAGAACCATAGAATTAGGAATTGAAATACTACCCTCTAAAAAACCCTCATCTGCCTTAGCTGTATGAGTCAGGCCACAGACTACTGCTTGTTTAGGCTACAATTGGCACTGCACTATCTGATTGTGGAGAATAATTTGATGCTGGACTGATTGGCGTGTACAGTAAGTAAGCTGACATATTACAATGTCATCTATATTTTCACAGACAACCATCCATGCTTCTTGTTTTAATGAAATAGACTTTATACCAATTTGATTCGTTTTTGATATCACTCCAGGTTGTAACGTGTCAGGTAATAATTTCCATTCTCATTTGCAGATTGCTACCTGGGGATAAATTTCTGGGCCTTTTGAAGAAATCATCTACAATGGAAATTGTAGCTCTGTAGTTCTGTCTCTGCTGCTCGCCAATGGAATTATTTTAATCAGTGCAGCGACCAATGATCAGAATCCACAACCAGCTCCTATTATTAAACTCTTTGAAACGTCCTCTCCAGGTGTTGTAGAGCTTACAGAGGACCACAAATCCAATAGCTTCATTCCCTTATTCAAAATGCCAGGACAAAACACCCCACCCCATCCTATATGCTTAGTGTCAACTGGAATCAGAGACGCATTCAAATACATCAATACTGTGATGTCTGCTCTTTTATTCATCATTGGAATAGTTGGAAATTCAGCACTGTTGAGAATCATGTATAAAAACATTCTTATTGCCAGCTCTTGGGGACATGCTGCATATCGTGATAGACTTTCCGATCAACGTTTACAGGGTGCGCTATTTGCAATCTGGTGTACAGTTACTGTCTATCCTGACAGAAAATATATATTTTGATTTGATTATCATAATGGTCAACATCTGATTTTTTTTATAAAAGTGGGTTTTTGTGTTTGTGTTGGTTACAAATTATTTTGTCTGACAAAATGTTGACATGTCTTTGCAGCTCATGGCTGAGGACTGGCCATTTGGTTTGGTGCTCTATAAACTAGTCCCCTTCATCCAGAAAACATCTGTTGGAATTACAGTGGTGAGTTTATGTGCCTTGAGCATTGACAGGTGAGAGGATTGCACATTCAGGTCACATTTCTGTTCCAAGATACACTATATATACAAAAGTATGTGGACACCCCTTCAAATTAGTATATTTGGCTATTTCAGCCACACCCATTGTTGACAGGTGTATAAAATCGAGCACACAGCCATGTAATCTCCATAGACAAACATTGGCAGTAGAATGGCCTTACTGAAGACCTCAATGACTTTCAACGTGGCACCGTCATAGGATGCCACCTTTCTAACAAGTCAGTTCGTCAAATTTCTGCCCTGCTAGAGTTGCCCATGTCAACTGTAAGTGTTGTTATTGTGAAGTGGAAACGTCTAGGAGCAACAACGGCTCAGCCACAAAGTGGTAGGCTACACAAGCTCACAAAACGGGACCGCCGAGTGCTGAAGCGCGTAGCGCGTAAAAATCGTCTGTCCTCGGTTGCAACACACACTACCGAGTTCCAAACTGCCTCTGGAAACAACGTCAGCACAAGAACTGTTCGTGTCAACTGTAAAGTTTGGTGGAGGAGGAATAATGTTCTGGGGCTGTTTGTCATGGTTCGGCAAGGCTCCTTAGTTCCAGTGAAGGGAAATCTTAACACTACAGCATACAATGACATTCTAGACAATTCTGTGCTTCCAACTTTGTGGCAACAGTTTGGGGAAGGTCTTTTCCTGTTTCAGCATGACAATGCCCCCGTGCACAAAGTGAGGTCCATACAGAAATGGTTTGTCAAGATCGGTATGGAATATTTTCACTGGCCTGCACAGAGCCCTGACCTCAACTCCATTGAACACCTTTGGGATTAATTGGAACGCCGACTGCGAGCCAGGCCTAATCGCCCAACATCAGTGCCCGACCTCACTAATGCTCTTGTGGCTGAATGGAGCAAGTCACCCAGCAATGTTCCAACATCTAGTGGAAAGCCTTCCCAGAAGAGTGGAGGCTGTTATAGCAGCAAAGGGGGGACCAACTCCATATTAATGCCCATGATTTTGGAATGAGATGTTCGACAAGCAGGTGTCCACATACTTTTGGTCATGTAGTGTAGTTGGAAAGAACTATATTACTTACATTTAACATGCCAAAATGAATACAATTGTTATATGAAGAGTAATATTGTTAAAGTTGGCTGATATCTACATGTCAAAGTTAAATATCTTTGTAGTAGGCCTTGGAATTCCCTTTCGTTGTAATATGTTCTTTAATTGTTATGCACAAAATGCTCCCCAGCCACATAATTTCCCTATTGATTTTCTAGGTATCGAGCTGTTGCGACCTGGAATCAAATCAAAGGCATTGGTTTTTCCAGGTGGACAGCAGTAGAAATAACTTTGATATGTGGTATGTGGTCCTCTGTAGCTCAGCTGGTAGAGCACGGCGCTTGTAACGCCAAGGTAGTGGGTTCGAACCCCGGGACCACCCATACACAAAAAAATGTATGCACGCAAGACTGTAAGTCGCTTTGGATAAAAGCGTCTGCTAAATGGCTTATTATTATTATATGGGTGATATCAACAATCCTAGCTGTGTCTGAAGTTGTCGGCTTTGATATGGTAACAATGGACTATAAAGGACAGCATCTGACAATATTGCTCCTTCATCCCATGCAAACAAATCAGTTCATGCAGGTAATGTGTGAATCTGGATCAAATTGAGTTATATAGAAAACAAGAAGTTCAATAATGTGTTTGATTTTGTTTTCTTTTGATAATAAATGAAAATGACACTGATTATATAATGAAGCCAGTGAGGTGTGCTTATCATCACATTCCAGTAGGTAGATCTGAAACAGCAACACTAATACTGTTCTTTATTATGTTTTCATAAGAGTTTTAAAAATCAGCAATACTTCGGCATGCCGCTGGCTTGCACGGCTGTCTTCTACTCTCTGATGACCCAGAAGATGCTGAGGAGGAAGGAGAATGTACTGAGCGACTTTACCAAACAGGTGAGTACAGACCAGAAATCTCCAGCTCTAGAACTGGAGAGCTATTAGGTGTGTAGTCTTCTGCTCCAGCCCAGTAGTCAGGGCCAGGCACAGACCATTTGGGGGACATGTGCTCCAAAAAGAAAAAGGGCACCCACCCCCAAAAAAATCCCTGCAACCGGGTCACAGGCTCGTTGAGCAATTATTACAAGAGGGAAAGCAGCACAATCTGATGAGTAAAGTATTTTGCGAAACTATTTTGCTAACCAGTGTTTGTATCTGTTAGGCAACAATTATTAGGCTTCAGCCAGGCTGTCTCTTATTGAACAGTGCAATCTGTGCTCTTCTTCAGACCAAAGTCCTGACAAAGTTCACTTGAGCACCCCTCCTCTTCGGTCAATGCCAACATAGTCCTAATCGCCGGCACACAATTCTTCAGCCGAGGCCAAAAACACAGTCTGTGTGAAATGGTTATGCAGCTCCTAATCTTCAGCCGTCCTCGCTCGCACACTCCCGTCTTCGGCATAAGTCAGGCTAAGCTATGTTAGCTAGCTAGCTCGACACTCTTCGGGCCTAATGCCCAACACTCAGTCTCTGCATCTATACACCCACTGTTCTTCTGGCTCTGCCCAAGCTACAAGCTTAGAAAAAAAGGTGCAAAGTAGAACCGTACAGGGTTCTTCAGTTTGTCCCATTAGGGGAACCCTTTTTGGTGCTGAGTAGAACCCATTGTAGAGGATTCTATCTAGAACCCTCTATGTAGGGTTCCTCAAAGAACAGCCTGTATATGGTTCTACTTAGAACCTTCTATGAAGAGTTCTGCCTAAAACCCTCTATGAAGGGTTCTACAAAGAACCATTTGATCATCTAAAGGTTCTTCCTAGAACCGCCTATGAAGGGATATACCGAGAACCCTTTCATCTTTGGAGGGTTCTTCCTAGAACCCCCTATGAACAGTTCCACTAGACTTATTAGCCTTTAACATTTAATTATGTATGACAATACTTTACATATACAGTTGAAGTCGGAAGTTTACATACACTTAGGTTGGAGTCATTAAAACTCGTTTTTCAACCACTCCACACATTTCTTGTTAACAAACTATAGTTTTGGCAAGTTGGTTATGACATCTACTTTGTGCATGACACAAGTACTTTTTCCAACAATTGTTTACAGACAGATTATTTCACTTATAATTCACTGTATCACAATTCCAGTGGGTCAGAAGTTTACATACACTAAGTTGACTGTGCCTTTAAACAGCTTGGAAAATTCCAGAAAATGATGTCATGGCTTTAGAAGCTTCTGATCGGCTAATTGACATTATTTGAGTCAATTGGAGGTGTACCTGTGGATGTATTTCAAGGCCTACCTTCAAACTCAGTGGCTCTTTTCTTGACATCATGGGAAAATCAAAAGAAATCAGCCAAGACCTCAGAAAAAACATTCTGGAGCAATTTCCAAACGTCTGAAGGTACCACATTTATCTGTACAAACAATAGTACGCAAGTATAAACACCATGGGATGTTTTTAAACTTCCGACTTCAACTGTATCATAAGGCCTTTCTTTGAGGGCCTAGTTATACCCTAACACAGTGGTGTTAGGAATTGCCTGGTTTACAGGCCACATCAGGCCTGCAAGTTACATTATGCTGGCAAGCAAAGTGATGTGTATTTCCTCTTGGAATCCAGCCAGAGTTAGGATAGCCAACAAGTGGAATTATTAATCACCCGCAACCTGCATTCAGAATGACTGCCAGGGTAGGGAAAGTTGAATACCGAGACTACCTCAATCATCTAAACTGGAACAACCATCTAAGTAACGGGTGCAATAAATCCAACAGATTGGATTAGTTTAGAAAAATGTATGTTATTTATTTTTCTGTAGCATAAAATGTATTAACCAAATGCAAAAACACAGATATTCCAGTAAAACAAAACATTCAGAAAATCTCACTGCGATAGAGCATGCTGGGAAATATTATATATGGTTCTATGGTTCCAAAGAAACCTTCTTGGCTTCCAAAGAATCATCAAAGAACCATTTCTTCCAAAAACAGTTCTCAGGATGTTAAAGGTTCTAGGTAGAACCCTTTGACTTACAAAGAACCCTTGTCTTCCAAAAATGGTTATTCTGATCAAAACAGTTTTTGGTTGAACCCTATCCCTAGGCAAAGAACCCTTTGGAACCCTTTTTTTCTAAGAGTGTACGCTACTGGTAACAACTCTTGCTGTAGCTTTACCAAAACTAAGCAGTTCTCCTCGCCATTCCACGCCTGGCCAACTCACGCCGTATCCTCAACGTAATTGCTCCCCAACACCAGAGAACAGGGTTTCCTACCCAGTCCTCAATACAGAGTCCTGTCCCACTCGCACCTGCGCAGTTCCCGCCAGTTACTTCCACGTAGGTGAATTAATCAATGTGTGGCCATACAGTATGTCTATAAACTCCATTTATCATTGTACAAAACTTGCGACGCCCCACGCACGCACATGCACGCTGTGCAAATGTAGCATGTCATTACAGCCATAAACGGTGATGCATTTTCAAAACGCAAGATAGACTACAGAAATAAACTGCGTTTTATAGCTGCATTTGAAGCTGAAAGTCATTAATGTTAACAGCCAATAACAACTAGGGATACAGTGCATTCGGAAAGTATTCAGACTTTTTCCAAATTTTGTTACGTTACAGCCTTATTCTAATATTGATTAAATAGTTTTTTTCCTCTTCAATCTACACACAATACCCCATAATGACAAAGCTAAAACAGGTTTCTAGACATTTTTGCAAATGTATATTTTATTTATTTTTTAGTCATTTAGCAGACGCTCTTATCCAGAGCGACTTACATGAGCAATTAGGGTTAAGTGCCTTGCTTAAGGGCACATCAACAGATTTTTCACCTAGTCGGCTCGGGGATTAGAACCAGCGACCTTTCGGTTACTGGCACAACGCTCTTACCCACTAAGCTACCTGCCGCCCGATATATTTTTTTATACCTTATTTACATAAGTATTCAGACCCATTGCTATGAGACCTGTGGTAAATTCAATTGATTGGACATGATTTGGAAAGGCACACAACTGTCTATATAAGGTCCCTAAGTTGACAGTGCATGTCAGAGCAAAAACCAAGCCATGAGGTCAAAGGAATTGTCCGTAGCGCTCCGAGACAGGATTTTGTCGAGGCACAGATCTGGGGAATGGAACCAAAAAAATTCTGCAGCATTGAAGGTCCCCAAGAACACAGTGTTCTCCATCATTCTTAAATGGAAGAAGTTTGGAACCACCAAGACTCTTCCTAGAGCTGGCGGCCCGGCCAAACTGAGCAATCAGGGGAGAAGGGCCATGGTCAGGGAGGTGACCAAGAACCCAATAGTCACTCTGACAGAGCTCCAGAGTTCATCTGTGGAGATGGGAGAACCTTCCAGAAGGACAACCATCTCTGCTGCTCTCCACCAATCAGGCCTTTATGGTAGAGTGGCCAGACGGAAGGCTCTCCTCAGTAAAAGGCACATGACAGCTCGCTTGGAGTTTGCCAAAAGGCACCTAAAAGACTCTCAGACCATGAGAAACAAAATGATCTGGTCTGATGAAACCAAGATTGAACTCTTTGGCCTGAATGCCATGCGTCACGTCTGGAGGAAACCAGGCACCGCTTATCAACTGGCCAATACCATCCCTACGGTGACGCATGGTGGTGGCAGAATCATGCTGTGGGGATGTTTTTCAGGGACTGGGAGACTAGTCAGGATTGAGGGAAAGATGAACGGAGAAAAGTACAGAGAGGTCCTTGATGAAAACCTGCTCCAGAGCGCTCAGAACCTCAGACTGGACCGAAGGTTCACCTCTCAACAGGACAACAACCCTAAGCACACACCCAAGACAACGCAGGAGTGGCTTCAGGACAAGTCTCTGAATGTCCTTGAGTGGCGCAGCCAGAGCCCGGACTTGAACCCGATCTAACATCTCTGGAGAGACCTGAAAATAGCTGTGCAGTGACGCTCCCCATCCAACCTGACAGAACTTGAGAAGATCTGCTGAGAAGAATGGGAGAAACTCCACAAATACAGGTGTGCCTAGCTTGTAGCATCATACCCAAGAAGACTCGAGGCTGTAAGGTGCCAAAGGTGCTTCAACAAAGTACTGGGTCTGAATACTTATGTAAATGTGATATTTCAGTTTTTGTTTTGTTTTTTGGGGTATTGTGTGTAGATTGATGAGGAAAAAAAACAATTTAATAAATTTTAGAATAAGGTTGTAACGTAACAAAATGTGGAAAAAGTGAAGAGGTCTTGTGATGGACAATGTTATTGTGTGAAGAGACAGCCTTGAAAATGTTCATTTTGTCTTTTGTGTAATAAATAATCCTTGGTTCCTGCCTGTGCTTGGTAAAGATATGAGGGGAGGGGGGGGGGGGGGGGGGGGGGGGGGGCCACATGACCCTCCTTAGGACCATCTGGTGGAACGCCCAGAATATGTTCTGTAAATGAAGATAGGAGATGGTGCCAGACACATGCAGGAACCAATCCTGTGAACCATGCAAATATAACTTGTCTGTGTAAGCAGTATATAAGAGAACTAACAGGACAGCCCCGTCGGAGCTCACTTCAGACCATTTGACATTTAACATTTTAGTCATTTAGCAGACGCTCTTATCCAGAGCGACTTACAGTTAGTAGACCAGTCCTTTATGCATCTAAGTTTGACTGTGACCTCTCCAGCTTGCTGTTAATAAACAATGATTCAATTAAGATTGACTTCAGGTGTCCCTAGTGGTAATTTCCACGACAATGTGGCGTCACGAAAATAATGATTGATTCTGCCTGCGGAGCTTTCCAGTGAGGGTCTGCGAGGAAAACCGGGGACGTTTTATGAAGCGTGAGGGAAATTCCCGTCTGACCAAAAGATGACGAGGACCCGCCCAGACCAGACCCTTACTGTGAGCTGCCCAGGAGACACATCATCCGCAAACAATTGAGGGACAAGGCGACTGAATTTCAGTAGGTAAATTTAAATGAATCTGTATAAAATAATAAAACCAACAAAACTTAACAATAAAAAGGTACCCATAGTCTTATGGTGAGAAGGCTATTCACTAGTCTTATGGTGAGAAGACTAGAGCGAAGGCGAGTAACGGTACCATGGAAAGCCCCGCTGACAGCTGTCTGTATGTATTTATAAAGAGAAGTGTCTACGTGGTCTGCAGCCACTACAAATAGCACAAAGTGTTATTGAGCATGCAGTGTTATTATATATGTATAGGAAGTAGTGGCAAGAGAACCGTTGAAGATACATATGGTTTATAGGAAGTAACGACAGGAGAATCATTGAAGATGCACATGGGGTAATAAGGGAGATTACCGAGTGTGTTTGGGAATAGTACTAAGTGAATGTGGATGTGCAAGTTGTGTGAGTGTGGAAAGGACGTGTTAAGCTGATTGAAATTTGGATAACAAGATTGGAATTTGGATAATAAGAGATGTTATTACTATTCAGTACTGAGTGAATGAGAGCTGACAGGGGACTAGCTCCGGTGTGAAAAAGGTAATATGGGGGATTACTGAGTGTGTGTCTGAATGAATACCCCAACCAGTTCTGTGTGAGCTGAGTTTTTTGATAAATAACGTTATCTAGGGCTTCTGTCCACCACTACCAGTCGATCTACAAGTAGTGAGCACTGACAGGAGAAGCCTGTATATCATGTCACTTCTCTGCAGTCCAGAGCAAGCAAAATAATATGGCCTACTAGCGGAGGTTGCAGGATCCTATGGAAAGCATGTTCTGTCTGCACCACGCCATCACTTTGGAGGGCAGCCTGCTGGTTGAACGCGGCACGTGTATAACTACAACCAGTTAGCGAGTCATACATTTCAGAGTTCCGACAAGTACATGAATGCGGCATTGCTCCTGCCAAATGCTACACCACGCCCACGGACGAATGCCCAGTTTACGTAGTGATGTATTTCATCATCTTGATGTATCATCTTCGTGCAATCTCGTTCCACTACTGGATGGAGAGCATAGGGAGGGTTTTACAATGCAAGACAAGATGGAGGAGAGCCTAGTCTCTAGACAGGGATCGCATTTATTTTGGGAGATTGTAAAACATGACCTTTTCATTCAAGAGAAACATATGGTTTCAGTTGATAATAAAACATGTTTTGTTTAGTTTTTCCTCAATTTGTTTCTATAACTTTCTAGCAAGTCAAGCTAGCTTACAGAGCACCTAGCTAGCTAGCTAAAAGCTAGCGACCTCCACCTAATAATTATCATAAAAAACAAACATCATTACCACCACAATAAACTAAAACGGGAGGCAACAGTAATAAAGTATAATGAGTATTAATGTGTATTATTTTTTACCTAACTATTAAAATAGTACTCACTTACAGGAATGGGTAATTGTATACAAGTTGCTAGATATCCCATAAACCCATTGTCTAAAACTTATTTGGTGGTTTGGTGACTTCCTGTTCTTCAAAGGACTCTGGCTGGACTGAAGTTTGGAAAAATTTGGAAAAATTCAAAGTATGCGTTGTTCGTCTTGCAACGGAGCCTTGACCGCAATGGGGAGTTTCGATTCCACTCCGTTTTGGATGCTCCCCATTCAAATGAATAACATCAGGCACAACTTAACGGAGTGCTTATGGTTGGCATTAGTTTCTTCTCCACAATGGGTGGATTCGATTATGCTGAGCCATGGGGCACTGGTCTGTGGCCCATAACGTGAACGGGCAAAAGCGGCTCAGTCATGTTGTCAACAAGGCAGCATGGTGCATTATACAGAAACATACAACATCTCTTTTCCATAAAATAATTGGGAAGGCAGATTAAGCATTTTTATCAAAAGCAATCACTTTGCATGGGAAAACACGGAATCCTGTTAATTACTACATGTGCTTAATTACGTCACTTTTGTTTTGAGCCGACTTCGCCATCTGACAGAGCGGGGCAGGCACCTGGCTCACGCCTGGAAGGTAGCCCAGTTCTAAAACAAATGCAGTCAACTTACACCTGGTGCAAAAGGCCAGATGAATCGAATCCCCTCATAGAGTCTGGATCTGAGTACCTACCCGATGATTTCTAAAACGCAAACACATTCTAACCGTTCTGATTGGTCTTAGAAACCGATGGGTTGGGCCAGAGCCAGAACACATGTGGGTAAGCGAAGCGTTTGAAAATGTGTCATTGGCTTTGATATTCTGATTGGTTAGAGATTATCCAATCGCTGATTGACGTCACCACAAACGATTTCAATGACTGCAGTCCCACAAACGATTTCAACAACGGCAGTCTCAGACTGAAGTATGTAGAGAACAATGCAAAAAACTGTATACCAAAAAAATATGGAGGGGGGAAATTATACTACCACCAAAAAGGGCACTTTGGAGACTGGAAGGGCAAATGGGCATGTGCTCTGCACATGTAGAGCCGTATCTGTGCATATGCCTGCCAGCAGTAACACACCTGGTTCAACTAATCAATTGTCCAGCCCATGATTAGTTGATTATTTGAAGCAGGTGTCTTAGTGCTGGGGTGGAATAAAAGCCTGCACACCCAGTAGCTCTCCAGGACAGGATTTAGCGACCCATGGTGTAGACAAGGGCGCTACCTCCATAATATTTTTATTTTTATGATGACGTTAAAATGTCTAACATAAATCTCCTTATCTGTTTTCACAGAGATGAGAAGTGGCCAAGACAGTGTTTTGCTTAGTGCTTGTGTTTTCCCTCTGTTGGTTACCACTGTACCTGAGCAGAATCTTAAAACTCACTATTTATGATGAGAAGCATCCCAAAAGGTGTCAGCTACTGAGGTAAGGTAGAAGGATACATACGATTGTCACTGCTGTTTTTAATTGTGGTATGTGATACTTACTTGATCCACTCATCCTTTTTTGTGTAGTTCTTGTCCTGGACTATATTGGCATTAATATGGCATCGCTGAACTCCTGTATCAACCCTATTGCTCTGTACATGGTTAGCAAACTATTCAAAACCTGTTTTAAGGTAAGATACAATATAATCTTCCTCATTATTTGCTATGTCAGTTCTTACACATGAGACAGAGGAAGAGGTATAGGCTGACAGTGTGATGCATGCTGTATGGACTCTGTTCAAGATCATTCTTGCCTTACTGACTGACATCACTAAACTTGTGAGGGCAATGACTTGAGGAGGTGATAGTTGAAGAATACAGTCCTGGAAAACAGTGACCAGAGCTTAACTAGACACTAGACTGATGCTGAATCAGCGTACACGCATAGCAAAAGTTCAATGTAAGGACATTCACAGTGCTTTTTTTATATATATTTTTTTTTAAATATTTTTTATATATTTTTTTTTATTGTTTTTTTTTTTTTTTTTTTTTTTAATCTTTATTAATTTTTTCGGGGGGAATGGATCAGCTTAATATTGCAGATAGATTGTATCTTCTATCAATGTAATTGTCTGCATCACTTCCAATCCCCCATGTTTTATTTTATTTTTTATATATATATTCCCCTTTATTACTTTTCAACCCCACCATCCTTTCCCTACTTGGAGTAAATTAGTGAACAACAACGACATTCACAGTGCTAGTTTGCATGTTAATAAGAACATTTACAGCAAAGTAAATCTTGGAAATTGATAGTAATCTCTGCAATCCGGAACCCAAATCTCCGGCCAGCTATGTTATCTCTGTCCACGACATATTAATTGATAGAGTTTGGTGGTTGACTGTTGGTGGACTTGTGTATGTCCCTTAGGAATGCCTATGTTGTTGGTGCATAACACCTGAAGTATTGACGCTTGAAGAGGTTCAGTCTATATTGAAGTCAAAGATACAGGAGCAAGCCCCTGAGCAACATTAGAGCTAATAAGCCCACCTCCACTTGAGTAAGAGGACACTTGACTATTTAACGCAATATATGACTTTGACATATGCACTGAAGTTTTTTTTCTTCTTGCGTTGTATTTTGTGATGTTCTTTGTGTTTCCATCTTTATCTGTCTATGGACGTTTGCCTGTAATTATTGCCAAGATGGCCTATTCAGTGTTGTTCTATGAATGTAATTCCAAGACTGATTTATTTTTATCAGTAATAAAATGCCTTTTACAGTAACAAGAGGCCCTCTTCATCTTATTTTTGATGATGACTAGAATTATGTCTGAGTTTCTATACGTGACCAATAGCCTATGACTTTATTGGTTCTGCACTCTCACTCTAGTCTGACTTTGACTCTAGACGTCACATCTACTGTTGTTAGTGGTGTACTGCTGTTTAGTAACAAAACCTGTGGCATTTTCTGTTGTGAGATGGTCAGCAGTTGAACATCTGCTTTTCGGCATGAGACACTCAGACAGAGAGAGTGAGACTGTTATGACTCCGATCCCTCAGGCCTTGACTCACTCCCGACCATTACATCATGTTTCACCTACAACCTATATCATACACACTATAGGTTGATATGCCCCGGCCCGTAATATGACTGTATTGTTTCAGATGTTTACCTGTAAACTTTGGCCTTAAGACACTTAGTGTTGGCACTAAGTTTCTAGAAATGCTACTGTTTCTAGAAATGCTACTGTACCTCAGCAATGTATTGAGAATTTAATGAGAATTTTGAAAGAGCTTATAACCAAATTAGTTCTCCTATTTAATATCAAAACTGTGTCAGAGAGGGCATGACAAATTATTAGGACACAAATGTATATTTCCGTCGCTCAGAGAGTCTGAGAGAAAGCCTTCCTCTCACATCGACTTAAACGTTTGTGTTACTCCTTTACTTCCCAATCCTAGAGAAACCTATCAAATCGGAGACACTGGTGGATTCTGCCTTCCCTACTGAATGACTGATGGTGGCCTATTTTTAATGCATTGTTAAATGTGTAATGCATGGAGACACTACATAAAAGACCTGCGAGTGGAAAAGAGGGAAAACGGAGATGACAGAATGGGGTCAGAAAGAGGTGGGGAGGTGGGGGGGGGGGGGGGGGGAGTTGAGCACCTGATGGGTCCTGTCACAGGACAAGGCAAGCGCAGATAGGAACGATTTATTCTATGCAATACCATATCAATCTACTGAACTATTTCAGTAGGAATTATATTGCTCCCCGTAGTGTATGGAAAGTTTCACTTCTAGAGAGAGAAGCTGACTTTCAACCTGTTATGAAAAGAGCGTAATTAGCTGTCAGGGCCAGCTCATTTTAATGCAATATAATAATGTTCTGAATTAGAGTTTCTGTACTGTAACTCTACATCCTGTACCTGGCAGAATGTAAAGTATGTGTGTGTTATTTATAAAGATGTCAATAGTATTAAACAGCATCCATGAATCAAATCATGGATAACAATGTGATTTGTGTAAGATATTGTCACTCGTATGGCCCCATGTAGGTTCTTGGTTTTTCTTTTGATCTTTAATTTATGTAAATGTCAAACACATTCCTATTTACACATTTATGTATGATTGTTATCCCTTTTTCTTTTTCCAGAGTGTCAGAATACAATATTGTTTTCCTCCTTTGTCTGCAACTCTGCCCATTTCCACATATCAACCACTAGGTCGCGCTAAAGATTTAATTGAATAAATCTCAAAGGAGTGACTTCCAAGTGCCAAAATGAAATGGAACAGATACATTCTCATCAATCAGTATGAACTCATAATCATAATCCCCTAAATTATATAATCACTACGCATGTACAAAAAAAAATCACTATCATAATCATGCAATTACAGGCTCATTTGAAAAACATCCTATTCAATCTGTGCATGATATTCTCCCAAAATATGTTCCTAGTAGTGAATAAAGGGCGGAGGGAAAAAGCGTGCTTTCCAACCCACACTGCTTTGATACCTGCTGTGTTACAGACTCATGCACTTCATCTTCTGGAGCTGCTCTAGTGCTTTGACAGCCTGGCACACACAGTGATGCTGTGGCACAGACACTGGGGTCATGGAAAACTCCTTTACAACACACCCAATTTGTGTTGTTTTGATCTAGGAGACGATCTGGAATAGCAACTCATCTGAGCAGAATATCACATTAAACATCTAAAATAACCGGCTATACTTAGACAATGCACAGTGTGAAATGGTTTGTCTTTCTATAAATTTTTTATAATCATCACTTTTTTTTGCAAAGAAATCTTCCTTGTCTTGTTAACTTTGTATTTTCTATCTGATTGCCACTTTTCTCTCATATTGTCAATTATTGTTGGACCTTTTCCTTTCACAGCAAATTAATGCCAAATCACACAGCAACAACTGGTGTGGTGCTATCCTGTTCCCTGCAGTTTTGCCATGACTGGCAATGACATTGACATAATCATGGTCTTACGTCCCCAGAGACTGTGACGTCAGTGTCAACTTCTGAGAGAGGAGAGAGAGAGAGAGAGAGAGAGAGAGAGAGAGAGAGAGAGAGAGAGAGAGAGAGAGAGAGAGAGAGAGAGAGAGAGAGAGCGAGAGAGAGAGAGAGAGATCGAGAGAATCGAGAGAGATATCTCCTCTCGCGTCTCTCTCAGGCTCTCCTCTCTTCTCTTCTCATATCGAGAGAGAATAGAGAGAGAGAGAGAGACCTTCCCGAAGTAATCTCTGTGCACACAAGGCCCAGATACGGTTTCCCATGGTGGCATCGAGACTCCCCAGACTGTGGATTTAATTAAACAGTGTGAAATTAATTAATCAGTGGGGCGGCAGGTAAAGGGACTTCTCACTGGAACTGCTCACACAACCCAGACAAGCATTTAATGTGTGCTGACAGTTATTAATTTGCTGTATGTTGTATTATAGTGTGTGATTATATATAGAGATCCGATGAAAAGCAGGGGAGATTAAAAAGACTATCAAATAACAGCTCCCCAAAAATCAAAGTATGAACCTGTGTTTGATCTGTTCTATAAATTAATTAAATAAAATAACTTCTGTATAATAATTTGGTGCAAATTAGATGGAAATTAGATTAAAAAATGCATTTAGTTATCTGGGGAATCTGCCTTGAGGGCTTTTTAGTCTTCAGTCTGGCTCAAAATGCTGTCCATATGGCAATTATGTACAGTAGTGTTGCAGGAGTATTGGTCTGATGCCTACTGGCAGAGAGGAGTCTGCCTGTGACAAACTGCTGCTAGGATCTGATGTGAGTGGAGGGAGATAATGAGGCTGTTGTAAGCCTTAAGTATAGAGCCTGCCCCAGGGATGGCATATCTAAGCGCTCAGGCTCTCATTGTTGCACGTGCTGCAGAGGATTAAAAACACATTTACTTTCTTCTTCATAAACTTTGTCAGTACTCCCAGCAACACTTTGGACAACTTATTCTTTCATGTTGTAAGCCTCTTGACATTTGTGCGGAGGAGCTACTAGCTTTACAATTTGCAAATGTGAAGTCTTGATTTGTGCCTTGAGATATCTATAGCTCTGCTAAAGCCCGTCTAGAATAGGAGTACAAAACCAGTGGAAAGGTTTCTGCAAACACATTGGGAAAGCCTGAGAAACAATCCCATTGTATTACATAGATTTTAGTACTGCCTTAATCTCAAAGCATTTACTAACAAAGTAAAAGTACAGTAGGTGGTTTGGAAGCAGCATGTCTTCGTCCTTAGGGGTGGTAAACCTTTCTCAAAGCAAGTCTATACAATACATCACTCTCTGTATTATAAAGATAACCCACCTCCATCATTGTGGCTTTCTCTGTAGTCAGATGCAATATGGAAACGCCCACCAGACTAACCATCTCTTTTGTTGTCCCCCACAAGAACCAATCATACAGTCCTCTATAATGGCTAGTTTACACCTACACTCCACCTACACACAGGTTTGAAATTCAAGTAAAAGAAGGACACTGTAGATCCAACCTAGTGCAATACATGGAGAGGCAAAGTAGACAGTGAACTAGTGTTGTTTCGTTAGATGCGAGCAGATCTAAATAAGCAATTTACAGTTTGAACATACTGGAATAAACAGGGCAAGCCTTCTTGTACAGAACCAGCAGTCATTTAATTAATGGGCATTTGGGGCTTGCATACTAAATAAGTGAGAGGGAAGGCTGCCACTACAGCCTAAGGCAGGAAAACTTCAGAGAGACCTGCTAACAGCAGGGGGAGTCAGACCACTGGGCTAGTGGTCACTCAACCATGGGATTAAAAAGCTTTTAATCCATGTACCAAAATCATTCTCACCATACTAGGGAAAATAAAATAAACGTGTAGGTGGCTGTGTTGATATCGCCATGGCAAAAATCAAGTCATGTTACGCACTCTTTTCTGAAAATGCCACTAACAATGAAAGCATTTCAATGTTCTCTTACGGAAAAACATAATGAGCAGGTCTAAAAGGTTTTCTGTGTACTGGGTTAGATGCAAAACGGACTGTCACTACCGCTTATTCTATTAATGTCTGGATGTAATGGCAAACATGCAATCAAATGCAGGGAATGTCTGCCAGTGTGGCTCGCACTACTAATGTGTTAGAGGCAACAACAAGCCTTTTCCAATAGACCACCCCATGTATTCACAGCATATTCCAGAAAGTGCAACAGCTTGATTAGTAAGCCCCTATTTATCAAATACAATTGTTACTAGTTACAAGTGTCTACTTTAATTACATTGAGGTATGCAGGTGCCTGTGAAATAAAAAAATAACCTTTTGAGCTTGCGGTCTTGCAGTTTCACACAGCTGCAGTCAGAACCCTGCCAGCCTGTCCTTGTTTTGATGGACAATGATGAAAGCGCAGGTGGATGCGAGAAAAGCCTGGCACTCCCCCTCCCTGGGCTGCAGTGGGCTGAGTTGGACTCTGTGTCTATGGTTTCCCATTAGCACGGGAGTGGAGGTTTGCAGTCTGGCTGCTGGGCACAGCGGGTCAGTGCTCACAAAGGCCTGTTTGTTCCCTGGCCTGAAGGGCTCCCTGGGTTAGCATGGCTCCAGAGGGGAGACAAACACACTGGGGCTGCTGCTCCTCCAACACATTTGTCTCTTCCACCCTCTACAGGGGTACATTTCTCTTCTAGGGATGGCGAAAGGAACCACGTTTTTTAGAATGTGGCCCGGGGGTACCATAACTTCTGTTGTTCTGGGAAATGGAATTCTCCCAGTGTAAATGCTTATGTTTTTTTGGCTTTGCTTTGTGGTGATTTTGATTTTTTCTTGGCTTTGTGAGTTTTTCCCTCCTCTTTTCTGGCTGTCTGTAGAGTCAGAATGTTTTCCTTAGTGTTGTTTCTTTAACAATGATATATCCACACTGTGCAAAAATGGTGAACTAGCGGCCTTCACTATACTCTATCTTCTTAATTGACCTTCAATTACATAAATTACATATATAGAGTATGTCTGACTTTGTTGAACTGAAGTTCATACCACGCTGAGATCCAATGGGGTCAAAATGATCAATAAATTATTTTATGGTACCTCTTATATTCACACGCACTGTCAGGCTGTGATTTCTAAGAGATGAAATAAATAGCAGCCTAGTCTACTCTTGCTCTTACTGCTGTCAGGTCAGAGATTCAATACAGTGCTGCAATCTGCAGTCCAAGTATAACTCCATTATTGAGGGGACTTTAAATTGGGAGCTATGTGACACACAGCAGGTTGATTTAGTTTAATGACCATGACAGTGACAGCAGCAGTGATGGAAATTGGACTCCCCCTGCAAATGTACATCACTTCAGGGTACTTGGGGCTCTTTTAGTGGTTGCACTCCAGAGCACGAACCATCAGGAGGTCCTGGATATGTCATGCTTGTCACCTTCCTTTAAGTGCATCTGCAGATGTGGGAGGGGGATTAATATTATATAGCCTACGGAGGCACATGGACTGTCTTATCAGCACTGCAGATGTGATAAGCACCTCGACCCCATGAACAACCAGGAAAGATCTCTGCATCAACACAAGCATCTCTTTTGTGTTTCGCCTTCACACTGCTACATGCTTTCAATGGCACTTTACAGACAAAACGGGTGCAATTTCACATTTGTTGTAATTTGACGAGCAGGGATCATCCTATGTGAAGCGTGACCCTTTTCAATTATTTAGGAAGTTGCAATATGGCTTTAGAGATGCTGGTCTGATTTCCTTTGATTTCTAGGTGGGGAAAAAATTGACTCATATACTCCAATCTAGGTTTTGGTGGAAAATGGGTTGGCAGGACATTGTGATCATGTTATGTGGCTGCTTAACCTCCCTCCACACCTGTCTCGTTGCTTTTTACTGAAATGTCATTTTTACTGAAATGTCCTAACAGTTGCCCTGACACTCATTTCACATTAGTTCACATCAACGAAGATGTCAACGTGAACAAATTACATTGCCTTCAACCTGATGCTGTATTGTGATGGGAGTTGTGGTAACCATTGCTGTCACATCAGTTTTAACTGCAGGGCCCAGTAAGGCTGAGAAAACAGAACAGACATAGAATGGATAGACCTAGTTACATGAAAACCCCTATGTACTGTAATTAGTTTCAGGAGTAACTTACACCATACAGTCATAGAAACTGTACATTATCTTTATTAAGCATTTATAATGATCACTGTATTAATTTCCATACATTCCATCAAAGACAGTGTAGTGCAAAAAGCATTGGTAGGCTATAATATGTTTACTGAAAATATATGTTGAAAAGGAAAGACAGAAATAAGGTATGTTTATTTCTAAATCAAAAGCTACAAACTGCTGTGATACATTTGTTTTGCCGTTTTTGTTTTTTCAAGTATTGCCTGCAGAGAAGGTGTACGTGCTGTATATGCTAAATGTTGCCTCGAGGGTCCAGGTGGAAATTTGTCTTAGCTGGCATTTTCTTACTAAATCATGCGCTGTGGTCCCTGTTTCATCCTAACAAGCATAGCTCGCCTGCTGCTATCAGGTATTTACAACCAAATAAAAAGTTACAAAATAAATATCTGCATAGAAATTACAATATTGCTTACAGAACATTACCTTTCAGACATTTGGTGTATTTGGCATAATTGGTATATATGGGTGTCCTACTTACACAATACCTAATATGCGCGCCACCCACCAGCGGCAAGGCAGAATCACTCGACAAGCTACCTGACAGCCTCTGTAGTTGTAGGGCCAAGGCCAGTGACCGCCTAAGGGTTCACAAATCCTCTGACAGTGGGTGTAGCTGCGTCGGCACTCTGAGCAGCAGATCCCCTGGTGGTCTAGCATTGGGTCAAAGGTCATGGCGCCCTCCTCTACCCTCCTGATTGCGCTGTGGAGTGGGAGGTAAATTATTCATGTTTCTGTTCAATGTTTTCAAATGAACTTCATATGCAGTTCATCATTTCTTTTCAGTTTTCCAACTGTCCTCTTTTAGGCATAGCCCACGGTTTTAACAAGCTGAATCAACGTGCAGTGGCTAAGGGGGTAATCATTTTCACTTCAGTTTGTGAAATGCAGGGCCATAAACATGGGGTGTAAGTTATCACCTACTGCTAGTGACCTTAGATTGCAGCTGTTCATCTAACACCTACCCACCCATAGCACCTCATTCCAACTAATCTAGTGAGCATTGAGTGTGGGTTTGCTCAGATCACCCACTGTAGAACTCATTGTCAAGGATGTTATGACATGTTTTGCCCTAACACAGACTTGCAAACTCAACATTCAGTGAAGTATCTTACAAAGGAAACCTGGGGGGCTAAAATAAAATCAAAGCTTGAAGAAAACAACTACTCTTTAAAGTGTACAGAATTCTCAGTACTCACGTGGTAGGGGTTTTCTGGGTTGTAGGCAGAGCCCGTGGCTGATGAGCCCGTGGCCTCCTTCTCCTCCTCTGTGGCTTTCTTGGAGGTGCTATTCTCTGCACGGCTCACTGTGTTCCTCTCCTCAGCAGCTGCCTCAAACTCCTCCATGTCAAACTGACGCTTGGCTCTCTGGGTGTCTCTCTTTCTCCTCTCTCCATCTGTTCCAGCCAGCCACAGGAAGCCACAGGAGGCATGGGTATTGGGTCAACAACCACTAGACACACCACAAATGTCCTCTGAGCAAAATTCTACATATACACGGTCTCTCTCAGTCGTACTGAATAAATTAATGAGTTACAGTGATATCAAGGATACCTTGCATATTTCAAGATCATTCTTTTTTAATGTAAGACAGTAGGGGACTTTTGTGTAAGTCTCCAAATACTGTACATCCTGAGAATGTTCAGGTTGTCTCGCTACTGACTGGTCTGTGCTCATTATTGGGTGGATGACCAGGACAGTTCTACTGTAAATTGGGAATATCAGTTCTACATCTCCTGTCTTGTGGTTTACATTCTATCATATCTCATTCTATAACGACTATCTCTTTTGCAATCTATAATCTCGTTCTATAACAATTACATATCTCATTCTAGAACAGCCAACACCTATTCTACGCTTAACTTTGTGTTTCTCATTCTGTCACCAAGCCATGTGATAAGCAGGAGCCATGAGAGAGGAACCTTTAGGATAGGTGGGGTGGAGCCAGAAGATGGGCAGGTCTCCACAGAGGTCCAGGATCTTGGTGCTGAGGAAGCTGCTGTCCTTCAGGGGCTGGTCAGCAGCCACCCACATCAGAGACTCCTCATCAAACTTCACTGGCATGATCTCATCTTCCTGACAGGGCGAAAGAAACCTCATCAGGCCATTATTAATACAGTATGTCCACAGGCTTATCACCATTATAATACATTTTACATCAATGTCATTCCATTAAAAATGTATGTAAACAAATTAATTAGTTTCTGTAAAGCCGTAATGAATCATTGACATATCCTTGAGTAATATAAATGAAAATGAATATCTAGAACAGAAGGGGGGGTGTCTTTATTTTCACATAACGTTAGTGTAATACGTTCAGTGATAGCATTATGGTTAGTTATGATTATTATATATACTCTTAGAAAAAAAGGGTTCCAAAAGGGTTCTTTGGCTGTCCCCATTGGAGAACCCTTTTTGGTTCCAGGGAGAACCCTTTTTGGTTCCATATAGAACCCTTTTGGGTTCCATGTAGAACCGTCTGTGGAAAGGGTCCTACGTGGAACCCAAAAGGTTTCTACCTGCAACCAAAAAGGGTTCTTCAAAGGGTTCTCCTATGGGTACAGCCAGAGAACCCTTTTAGGTTCTAGATAACTCCTTTCTTTCTAAGAGTGTAGCTTACTGTACCAGGTCAAACATCAATGACTCCTTGTTGAGCGTCTCCACCTCTGGAAGGTTGGCCTTGATTTGCGATTTAATGTAACACTTCTCCCCTCCAGAGAACCGGATTCCTGTAATTCCCTGAATCAGGAGTCACAGAGATGGGATATTTACACTCACAACTTTGCTACTTTCCTAAGCACATGCCAACTCTCCGTTGAACTACTTCGGAGAGAAAATAAGTACAACTCACAATGTGAAAGTCATGAATCTCCAACGCCTCGTCATTTCCACTCCCAGTTCGGAACCTTTCCAGATTATTATCGGAATCGATTTCCATGGAACCCTCCTCCACCTTTCCATTGATGCTCATACTGTAGTGTACATTGTACACCTAAGGAGATTTTAAAATGGAAAGTTACAGTGATATTCAAGGTTATGCATAATACATACAGTAAACACTCATAATAATTATTGAAATATTTAACTTGCCAGCTATGAGCTACAAGTGCTCAATATCATTTTATAAAGCCCTATTTGTAGTACCCAAACCTACAATTATAATAGCCAGAGATAGGCCAGCAGGCTTTCTAACAATAACTTAACTTAACTGCAAAATCCTACCATGACACAATGCTTCAAAATACCTCCCCTCCTTGTATTCTCCTGTGCAGCACTTAAAATACTGTGTGATGTGTAGTCCAATCACACAGCTGATTTGAATATAATGTCTCAGAGGAGGGCAGCAGGGCCTTGACATGGATTTATCCTGAGATGTTTGCCCTACAGGTGAGCCCATTATAACACAAATAAATATTGAAGTATCTCTAATGAGACAGTCACCATCACCAAGCCTTAGTTACATGCCCAAAATATTCACATGAAAGCTATGTGATTCTAATGTGAAATTGGATAGGTTGATATAAAAATAATTCAATTATTTAACAGACTTTTAATAAGATTTCGACCAGCAAATCCAAATGTCGTTTTCAATGCCCATCATCCACTGGTAATATAGTAGATGGTTGTTTTATGATGAATGATTGGCTATCTGCAGAGATTTGTTTACCAAAATAACATATTTTTCATTAAAAAAAATTGACATGGGAAAAGGTGTACTGGTAGCAAACTACACAGCCTACATTTCTCGTTCCCAGGGTTACAGGTAGACCATGGAACATCTCCCACAAGTTCAAGGTAGATTTCCCTGTCTCATCTGCATTTTAACCATTAAGGTACATCATATAATGACCCATATGGAATCAAATGAACGACAAAAATTAACGCTTACATTTTTGTCACTGGCTTTCCAGAGGTAGAAAGCTCCAATGGATCCGCAAAGCATCAGCACTGCCCCGGCAATGAGAGCCGCAGCCCCAAATCTCAAGAGACGACCAACAGCAACCGGGGGCTTCGTAGCCGACGTACTGTATGCCTTTACAAAGGTCAGAATGCAAGTGAGCAACAATGCACACAGCCAACGTCAAAGCAAAGCGCCACGAGGAAGCCATATTTCATTTGCAATTCAAACTTTGCAAACTAAAAACAATATAATAGGCTAGGCCTACTGCTCCCAGGAAAATGCATTTTAATTATTTAATTTAGGCTACTTACAGGTGGTAGGCATTGTTCGAAGTCCTCTGCAATTGGGACTTTCTCCGAAGTCTCTGCCATGATGGCGCGCGTCTGTATGGCCACTGGTGTTGATTCTTTTGGTCGAAATGTCCACAAGTCCAGTTTCAGCACTTCAGTGTGAATGACGTGTCACTGACGGAGGGCACGGAAAATTCAGGTGGTCGCCAAAATGAAATGTAGCAGTTTTTTTTACACTGATTTTAGTCAATTTATACCATGTCACATGGTTTGTTTACACTCCATAGTTCCAAGTTGGAGGTTGGTGAATATGTGAAAATGGTGCATGTCTAAAATAGCTAGGCTATAGGCTATTCAACTAGTTTGAGAATAACTTTTCTTTCTTTTTTTTGTTAAGGTTGGAATGTCAATTTTCAGTTAGATTTCTGCACTAATTCATTTCACAATGAGAAACGTGGATTTGGTTACTTTTACAGGTGTTCATGGAATGGATTCACAAGAAGTTCAGCATCACTAGTGAACTTTCCCACAGCTTCTGCCAAGAGGTCTGGACCTTTATGGCACAGGGGGTAATAACTTTGCTTTGTAACAACCAGATAGCTGGTTCAAGCAGCCCTAGCTGGCCCCTCATCATTACATTGTAGTAATATGATTGGGGCTACCCTGACCCTGTCAGAAATTGGTCTTCATTTGGCCTTCTAATCAGACATGGCTTATTGTGATTCAGAAGAATGTGTCAGTCTCCAAAATCGTAGATTGGAAGTTCATGTGATTAGATGACTGGCCAATCCCTATGGCGAACCTGCTCCCTCAGAGGTGATAACTAGAGCCATCATCTCCTTGTCTGTGTGCTCCTAATCATGACTAAGTGAGAAAGTGGACCTGAGACCTCAAGGGATTTGGATGTGAACAGCCACAGTTGCTTAGAAACAGGTAGAGGCTGGCTCACACAATCTCTTATAGGACAATTGGTAAGCCAATAGCCAATCAGAGAGGTGAAGTGATTTTGACTGTCTCATTAGCAATGCATAATGGTTATGCAAATTTGATGTAGTCATGTACGTTATTTACTTGCTTGAAACACTATTTGGCCTATGTCACTTTTTCAAGTATGATCCTTTGCTGAGCGTATGCATTAGCCCTCAAGGCTAACTTTAGGGAAGCACTGAGCTGGCTAATTGAGGTTATTCTGTGTGCTTTATAAATATTCTCTGATGAGGATGGGATACACAATGCCTCTGAGACTTATAAGGCAAGGTGCAAACCATGCAGCAGGCATGTCATGGTGGTCATTTAGCTTTTCATGTAGCCATCTCTGTTGAAATCCTTAGTTAAGCAACATAATATAGTTATAAATAATCAGTACATTTTTTACAAATGTTTCTATCAGGCATAATATTGCCTTTTGTACTAGGCTATATGTGCAAATTTCTCACTCAAAAAAAGAAAAGATGTATGGAACCACACTGTAGATTTAAGTTGTGTTTTTTTCACATACAGAACAATCATTTGGTTTTGAATATTTATTTCTGCAACTTAGTGACTACATCTACTACAAACATGGTCATATTTGATACTGATTGTTTTCCACTTGACAAAGGGCCTGTTTAGCCTAAAGGTCCAATGGTCATGCCCCATAAATATTAAAATGTCAAACATGCTCTTCAAAGTTAATAATAAAATTTTAGTTTACATTGAATCATTATGAAAAATATATTCTTAATGTACAAAATCTTGCATATTACACATGATACAATAAACAGTCATACAGTATATAAGGAGACTGAAGACGATCACACAAAAACACTTACTGTAACACTCTAACATTGAAACAATAGGCTATACAGTATATAAAGATGCATAATACTCTTTAGATGGGTCGTTCCACGAAATTAGTGTCTTTTGCATCCCTTTAATATTTTAAGTAGAAATTGCGCTAAAAATGTGAATTTTAAAAGCCTGTTGAATTAAATGAAGTGACCTTTAATGTAGACCACATGGAAAATTAAATAAATCCGATTTGTTTTATATGAAAACAATTCAGCATTTTGACATCCTCTGTGACTTCTAGGAAGATTTTAAGCCACTTAACCCCAACATTTCTCCAAGTTTTCACCATCATTGCAAAGCCCAAGTTATTTTGTTGCTTTGACAAAGTCATTTCTGAAGATGATTATTTATTTAATGTGAATAGTGATTCATTTTAAGGTAAAAGTCTACCCTGTTACGTGAACTGAACTCTCATTTTAATATGGTGAAACTATTTCTTTCCCCCCATTAAAAAAAAAAGTATATTGAACATCTAACAGTCAAATGATAGTGTAAAAGCATGTGAGCTTGTTTTACTCTTTTTGGCAATTTTCTGGTATTTTGTGGTGGAAAACTGAGCGGGTCAAGCATAACATGTCAACCCTGTTAGCCATAGATAGACAGGCTAGAATTTTATTTATAATACAATTTTTGTTGTGAAGTTTGCATTCAATTGCCCCTCCTGTTGCACACAACAAGCATCCATTCCCCCTGTCACAAGGGTATTTATAGCTAATTTAAGATGAAATCGTCAACCCTTTTACGGTCAACCCTGTTACTTTATTTGGCACTTAATAGGCACTTACTATAGTCATTTTTTAAAAATTCAACCTCTTGAGATGGGAAAATGTGTTTTTTATTAAGTTGAACGTGCTCTTTATGACATAATGTTAGAATAAGGTGAAATCAAACGTTTTTATGCACCAAGTTTCACTAGTCAAAAGGCACCTAATTGGTGGAACGACCCAGATGAGCTTTGATTATTGTTCATTGTCCAGATCTTTTAGGATTGTCCATACTCTGGGAGGGATATCTCATCAGTCTCTAGTATCCTGGCTGGTGTTGGTGGACAAACCAGAATATAATCGAATTCTTGGTGCTGGACTTTTTCATAGACACTTTGCAGACCATTGATTTTGGGTAGGTGAGCCTGTTGATGGTAGGTGTCTCTTTGCAGAGTGTTTCGTGGCAGTGAGGCTGTCTTGGAGAAGGTTGAGAGGTGTGGTCCGTGGGAAAGGCTGGTATTGGTTCTAGTGGCAGAGGGGGTCCAGCATCGGTCTGAGTGGCCTAGGATCTTACACTCACTGGTGCAGGACCAGAGACCTGTGGAAACAACATAACAGCCAAAACTGTTAGACCTTGATGAACCATGCTGCACATGTTGGGGTATTATAGCCTTCATTTTATGATACACCATTATCATTTAATATCTGGCCATAAAGACCTTGAGAACATCACAGAGAATGATGCCTTTCATGTATTTTTTAATAATGTGTCATCATTGTGACATATCATTGTGTCTGAAATCACATTAACATCCTGTGATTGATTAGTAGTCCTTACTGTTTATCAGTGGGGAGTCTTTTTTGTGGCCATCTCCACTGATGTCAGAGTCGCTGTCGTTAAAGTCACTGTCTCCTTTCCCACTGTCCTTTCCACTGAACTGTGGATCTCGCGCTGAGATGGTTGTGAATGAATTACCCTTCCATATGGTTATGGGTCTGAGGGTTTCTTTCCTATAGCCAGGCAGTGTCAAATAACCCTGTGAAGAGGCAAACACAATACACACATATCAGTTGTGATGGAAAAAACAACAACAAAACAATTGGCAGCCAGTCCATACAGCGAGTCACAATTACTTACCTCCAATTTACCCTCCGTTATTCTGTTGTCAAAGACACACTCTTTTTCTTGTCTTCCATCATCAGGGGCTGTTTTTATTGTGTTGCTTGAGGCCAATGGTGCTTTCTCAGGAAAAGGGTGCACATCAAACACATTGCTTTTGTGGTTGGTGATCAATGAATCAAAATGTCTGCTCTCCTCCTTCTCCACATGTGGCATGTCTTCTTTTTCACTGTATCCCGCCTCTCTCGTCTCCCGTTTGCGTCGACTGCAGGTGGTAGTGATTAAGATGATGGCTAGCAAGAGGAGGGAGCAGCTCCCTGCTAGGACAATGATAATGGCTATGTCCCATTCAAAGATCTCCACACTGTCGTTTTGGACCATAGCGGGAACACTGGGAGGAGTGCCTTCGATGAGAGTGAGGTGTATAGTGGCTGTGGAGGTCAGAGAAGGTGTCCCATTGTCATTGACAGCCACTAGGACTCTTAGTGTTTCAGACAGATCATAGTTCAGCTTACGACTCACATGTAACTTCCCAGTAACCTTATTGATGGAGAAACCCAAGTGTCCCCCCTCAGTGATTTTGTAGGACATCTGCGCGTTAATGCCTTCTTCAGCATCTGTGGCCTTTATCTGTGTTACAACATAACCTGCAGGTGCATCTTTGGGAAGGAAAACTTCAGCAGATCCCTTATTAAGGACCGGCTCTATGATAGACGGAGCGTTGTCATTCTGATCCACTATTTTTAGATTGATGATGGCACTGCTCTGAAGCTGGGGTGACCCCCCATCGCTTGCCTGGATGTGTAACTCCAGATGTTTCATAACTTCATAGTTGAAGCTTCTTAGTGCATATATTGAACCAGAGATTGCATTTAGAGATACAAACGTGTTGACAGGTGATCCCATTATAACACTGTCTAAAAGTCTGTATGTAATTTTGCCATTAGTCCCCAAGTCTGAATCTCTGGCTTCAACCGTGGTTATATATGCCCCTGGTGGATTATTTTCTACCACAGAAACTTCATATATAGGCTTAGTAAAGTGTGGGGCGTTGTCATTCTCGTCGCTTAGCCTGATGGTGTATTGTGTGATTTTTCGCAATGGAGGTGACCCAAAATCTTCAGCCATCACTGTTAAATTGTACTCACTAATCTTCTCCCTGTCTAGGAATGCTGCGGTAACAATCATGTAGCTGTCCTCATAAGCCTGTTGAAGTTTGAAATGATCATGCCCATATAAAGTGCAGTGGACCTGGCTGTTGACGCCCGAGTCCCTGTCCGAGGTGCTGATCAGCGCCACTAGGCTGTCCTTGTCTGCTGTCTCGCTGATATATGCGATGCCTGTTGAGATGGAGGTCATTGGCGTAATACTGATTTCTGGGGCATTGTCATTAACGTCTTTGACATGAATTATTATTTTACAGACGGCGGGGGTCGGATTGGGTCCTAGATCAGTCGCCTGCACGTCTAATTCATATGTTCTCTTAGTCTCAAAATCCACTGGGTTCTTAAGCCTCACCCGCCCGGATGTACTGTCCACTTCGAAAAGTTCTCGGATTTCAGCAGAAACCTGTTTTCCGAACCAATAGACCACCTCTCCATTTAAACCCTCATCTGGATCAACTGCATTTAAATCCAATAAAACGAATCCAACCTGTGCGTCCTCGGGCAAAGTGACCGAGAAATTATTCTGCTCAAAAACAGGACGGTTGTCATTAAAGTCTGTCACTTTTATTGTTATTTTCGTTGAACCCGACCTATATGGGTTTCCTCCGTCTGTGGCAATAAGCTCCACTGCATAAGATGACTGAGTCTCCCTGTCTAGCTCTTTCATTAGCACCAACTCCGCATATTTAACCCCATCCGCTCTCAAAAGCACATCAATGGAAAAATGACTGTTGACAGAAATTTGATAGCTTTGGATGTAGTTTGAACCTACATCTGCGTCCTCGGCTGGGTCCAAAGGAATACGGAACCCCACATCGGCATTTTCAGAGATCTCCACTGTAGATTCCTTGTTTGGAAACTCCGGAGAGTTATCGTTGATGTCTTTTACCTCCACCTCGACATGGATCAATTTGTACCTCTCTTTTGAAAAACTGACAACATCAAAAGTGATGAGACACTCAATTGTGTGCCTACAGATTCTCTCTCTGTCAACCCTCTCCCCGACAGAAAGCTCCCCGTCGCTTTCTCTCACCCTGATAAAAGAATCGTTGAATTGTTTCATCATCCTGAAATTAGTATTGGAGCCAAAAGAGGGACTCAAGGACATGTCCTTGGCCAGGTTACCGATCACTGTTCCTGGACTTCCCTCCTCATTGGTCTGGTATTTCAGAGTATTTCCCTCAGACTCCGCCAGTGAAACAAATAACATTTGTAATCCAAAAATCCACCCATGCCAACCTGTTAAAATGCCACACATCATGTTCAAGGACGCGATGGGTTAGTTAGTTAAGAGAGCCAAGCCGTTTCACTTTCACTCAACAGATTTGATCACTTAACCTGGTGAAAATGCCTTCCGTCTACAGCAACAATAGCATCTTCTCTGAACTGTGCTGAAAGTCCGTTGTTCATTGCGCGCGGCAGCCAGTCAAGCAGGCGCGCTTGTTGCCTGCCGCCTTCCACACAGCTCCAAATCTTGCAGTGGCGAGGAGGTTTATACAGCTCCCCATGCTAATGAGAGGAAGTGTGACCAATCCTCTGCTTCAGAATTAAAAATAGCCCTCATGAAAGACCTCTAAGCCTGTTTTCAATGTGCATAGAGCTAAAGCAGCAAAATAAAAAGAGATGCTCTGCTTGGAGTCAAGTTTTATGCATTCGTTTTTATCGTCTGATTGCAACTGTCTTTGGTTGTTATTGTGTTTGTTGTTATATGTTTATTACCATAAAATTGCATTGCTAATTATTTGTATTGTTGTTATCATCTATTGTACAATTTCCTCAAATAATGTTCCTCAATGTTCCTCAAATAATGGCCTCCGAAGTGGCGCAGTGGTCTAAGGCATGCAGTGCTAGCTGTGCCACTAGAGATCCTGGTTCGAATCCAGGCTCTTTCGTGTGCGGCGTCGTCCAGGGTAGGGGAGGGAATGGCCGGCAGGGATGTAGCGCAGTTGGTATTAAAAAATAATAATAATGTATGCACTCACAAACTGTAAGTCGCTCTGAATAAGAGCGTCTGCTAAAATGTAAATGTAATAGGTTTTGTAGACAAGAGATGCAGAATGGCTTTGAATGAGTGTCACATATATTTCTGTGTGAATATGGGTATTCAACTAAACTGTGGGGGTCAGTATTGGTGTGTGAGAAGGAGGAAATAGGTCAGGATGGATCAGTTTATATGGGCCAGGTGTGTGTGACTGTCTAAGCAATACAGTATGCTTGTTTTTGTGCTGTATGGTAACTTGGTGAATTCCATCCGTCTTATGGCACCAGTACTGTCCTGCTGACGTGCAACTTTTATCTCTTGTAGATAGCAAACGATACGCGGAGAGAACAAGGGAAAACTAAGAACAATCAACAGCAAAAAATATATATATATATATATATTCTCATATGCTTACAATGTATAAAGACTTATATAACATATAATTTCAACTTTTGTCCTAATTGATCAGTACAATTTTTTATCACCTTGAAACCTATGTAAGTAGCAGCAACTTATCCAACTTCAGTTATCAGTTAGCATAGAATTCAAACCTGACATTTTTCCATAAAACTACAGACAATACTTTCTGAGTTGTGAGATAACGACATGGCATGGGCTCCATTGGCCCATGATAACGTTTTATGCTTAATGCTGTGATTTATATTTATGAAAGCGTTATTTCTTTGAAAGTTTGTGGGCAAATCTTTCATGGCCTTGAATGGATTCCACAAGACAGAGAAAATAGGTATAGCAGAGGAGGAAAATGCACGAGAACTGTTTCAGGGAAGATATGGATTTAAAATGTACAGTTGGCCCACAGACACAATTCCATTTTTAATGGGATTGTAAATTAATTCAGTTTCAGGGGATGCCTTTGCGTTTTATGTTTGCTGATCACTTCAGTCCATAACATGCCTGAAGAAATACCATGATAGTCTGCGTTTGTGGAAGGCACTTAGCTTCTCAATCTTTTACAAAGATGAGAAATCAGAGGCAAATTGCACAGCGTTGGAGCTCAACTGGACTGATTAATGCTCCAATAGTCCAGCGGATAGGTGAAATAATTGTTCCATTTTATTATGCAAGTAGAGATCTCCCATTTTAGTCCAGCATATAATAACCAAATATACCCAAGATCGTTCCATTTTATGATACAAGTATTAAACGTGGTACACTGATACTAGATAACTTAGGGAACATTTTAAAAATTGGAGGAAGGCTGGGAAGCATGTTTTAATAAAATGGCTGCCATTCGGATTTCCTGTTAGAAGAAAATAGGATAAAATCATTCCAAACAATATCAAAATGACTTTGTAATGTTACCTACCTACAAAATAAACCCCATAGATAATATAGACAATAATTCTGATCATAAAGTATTATTAAAACCAACATGGTGGTCATATTGAGGTCATTTTGACCATAGTCCAGCAGCTACAGGAAATAAATTGTGGACTTTGTGATAGCGCCACCACATTTCATACACAGCTATGGCATGTCTAAACAAATATGTTGGGCTATAGTGCCGTCGCAGAATTGGTCCATTACCCCCCTGGCGTTCATTTCCGATATGGCCACTGAAAGATAGGCTAAGAAACCCAAGATAGGTAACTGGTTGGATAGATGTCACCTGGGGTACTCTGCTCCGGTCAGAGAGCAAGCAAACAAACGTACTCTTAACTTGGAAACACACAACTGGAAAGAAACAGAGGAATGGCTTGACATTATTTAAATATAACCTAAAGGTGTGAATGAGCCTATCATGAGAGAGCCAACAGGTGAACTGAACTTGGTTGATCAAGTTCATCTCAGTAGAATGCTGCTCCACTCTGAGGGCTTTTGTACAGCCGCCAACCAGCTGCATGGGGCCATATTGGACTATACTCACTTGGCCATATCTCCATAAATAATTGATACACACAGCCCAATGATGTTTAAGGGGGTCTGGAAAACAAAATGAAATGGCCCAAAGATGCCATATATGCATATCCTTAACATTTTTAGTAGAAAAGTGGTGAAAATGTGTGCTAACTTACTGTTTTTTGTAAATGTTTTCATGGCTAGTTCCAATAGTTTACATGTAAACACTCAAAAAAAGTATATGGGGGTTCCCTGAAGTCTACTGATTGCAATGATATATAATGTGATATTCTGTTTTGTGTCAATTTTAAGAAATGTGACAGCAAACCTGCCCTGTACACATCACCTTAGGTAAAATCCCATAGGAATGCATTATGTCCAGCAGAGAGACAGGTAACCCTTTATGATGAGACCTTTCAGTCTTTATACAAAGTGAGTAAACTACTACATAAATATGTCTAGCTATAGGGCCATTGCAGATTTAATAACATATTACACTCTAAAAGACCAGTTTTCCAAAATGACCAACCAGCTACATTGGTTCTAATTGGACAGGATTCACATTGCCATATCTCCATAAATAATTGGTACATACAGCCCAATGATGGCTTAACCTCTTAAGGATTGGACCCTTTTTTTTCAATGTTCGCCTAAAATGACATACCCAAATCTAACTGCCTGTAGCTCAGGACCTGAAGCAAGGATATGCATATTCTTGATACCATTAGAAAGGGGAAATGAAGTAGAATATAACACATTAGAACACACACACCCCCATTCTCATCGATGGGGCTGTAGTGGAGCAGGTTGAGAGCTTCAAGTTCCTTGGTGTCCACATCACCAACAAACTATCGTGGTCCAAACACACCAAGACAGTCATGAAGAGGGCACGACAAAGCCTATTCCCCCTCAGGAGAGATTTGGCATGGGTCCTCAGATCCTCAAAAAGTTCTACAGCTGCACCATCGAGAGCATCCTGACTGGTTGCATCACTGCCTGGTATGGCAACTGCTCGGTACAGAGGGTAGTGCGTACGGCCCAGTACATCACTGGGGCCAAGCTTCCTGCCATCCAGGACCTCTATACCAGGCGGTGTCAGAGGAAGGCCCTAAAAACTGTCAAACACTCCAGCCAACCTAGTCAGAGACTGTTCTCTCTGCTACCGCACAGCAAGCGGTACCGGAGCGTCAAGTCTAGGTCCAAAAGGCTTCTTAACAGCTTCTACCCCCAAGCCATAAGTCTCCTGAACAGCTAATCAAATGGCTTCCACTGACTATTTGCATTGTCCCCCCACCTTACGCTGCTGTTACTCTCTGTTTATTATCTTTATTTTTTTACTTATCTATTTTTTACTTAACACTTATTTTTCTTAAAACTGCATTGTTGGTTAAGGGCTTGTAAGTAAGCATTTCACTGTAAGGTCTACACCTGTTGTTTTCGGTGCATGTGACAAATACAATTTGATTTGATTTGATTTGAAATGGTTGGCATTCAGATGCAGCTTGGACGTTACACCCGTAAAACGAAAATAATTATAATTTACAATTGACAGTGATGATGGCCTATTTTGAAATTAGGTAGGCCTAATTTGGTGTTTGGGGGTATTAAAAATACATTCATTCAAGTTCATTTGTGTGGGCATAGGCAGACATTGCATTTGGATGATGCGTTTTATGCATATCATATTATTCAACAGGCTACAGTGCCAATGTTGATTGAGAAATGATGATGTCATTTATTTACTTTTGAGCTCCAGCATCTAAAATAATAGCACTACACGACTGAGTATAATAGGTTAAATCTGCAATGGCACTATTGCTAGACATCTTTGTTTAGACTTCTGATTACTTTGTGTAGAGGCTGAAAGGTCTCATCATAAAAGTATTTTGTTAAAATGGGTTGCCTGTCTCTCTGCTGGACATAATACCTTCCTTTGCACAGGGCAGGTTTCCTGGGATTTTTATTAGGATAAAGGATATGTATATATGCAATTTCTTGGCCATTTTATTGTGTTTTCCAGACCCCCTCAAACATTTTAAGCCATCATTGGGCTGTACGTACCAATTATTTATGGAAATATGGCCAAGTGAATCTAGTCCAACATGGCCCCATGCAGCTGGTTGGCAGCCATATTGGAAATGGCAGCCAGGGGGATAATGGACAAAATCTGCGATGGCACTATAGCCAAAAATACTTCTTTAGACATGCCCCAGCTGTGTGTGAAATTTGGTGTCTCTATCACAAAGTCCACAATTTATTTCCCGTAGCCACTGGACTACAGTCAAAATGACCTCAATATGACCCCCATGAAGGTCTTAAGAGTATTTTATGATTAGAAATGTTTTCTATATTATCTGTGGGATGTATTTAGTGGGTAGGTAACATTACAAAGTCATTTTGAAATTGTTTGGAATGATTTT